AACACAACGTGGTGCGATCATCCCCCTTGCGCGGAGTGAGGGTTCTCCACCCCGCACAAGATGACCTACTCGACCACCATTGTGGTTACCGCAAAAAATAAAGAGGTAAAAACAAAACGGTACCCTGGTTGCCGAGTTCACGAAGTGAATTGGCTTGTTTCACAACGTTGTTACCAAGCGACGAAAACCCAACCCCGATGGCAAACACCGGGGAGAGGGAATGGGGGGGGGACATATACCCATGCATCCCCGGGTTTTCCACCGAGGCGTCGGCGCTTTGGCGTTAGGTTAGGGGTAGGGTTATGGCTAGGGTTAAATCAAGTCAACCGTAACCCTGCAAGACCAAGGCTACGAGTAGATTTGCGAGACTATTTTCGTTGTTGTGCAGTGCTAGCAGCGGCAAAGGCAAGTTTGCAAGGCAGGTGGTTGTGCTGGATGGTTAGCTGAGCTGCTTCGCTCATTTCGAGCTGGCCGAATGTACTGTACTTGTGTAGGAATGAGGCACTACTACCACCGTACGTGTGTTCGTATAGCACGGCTGAGCGTGGGCCGGCTTCTGACGAGCAGATGCGGAAGGAGTAACGAGAGCGAGGGGTGTTTGTTTGCAATCCATCTATACCTCATTGTATCTTTTCGACAATTCGTGGTAATTTTTCGATTTTCTTCGACCTCCGGGGAGGGGGGGGTAGGGCCTATGTGTCCGGAATTTTTTTTCGCGCAGACCCAGGCAAGGTCCCCATCAAGATCATCACCAACCGTCGAAGCGCCTTCTCCGAAGCCAACAACATTCTCCCGGAAGAACAGTGCGCATTTCGACCCGGGCGATCCACCGTCGACATTTTGTTCGTCGTGCGCCACCTCCAGGAGCTGGGGCGGAGGAAAAAAATACCGCTCTATATGTGCTTCGTCGACTTGAACAAGGCGTACGATTCGGTGGACCGAGAGATGCTATGGAAGGTGCTGGCCAGGGCCGGGATTTCCGCGAAGCTGATCGAAGTCATCCGCCAATTCCACGATGGAATGCGGGCCCGGGTGCGTATGGACGACGGATAACTATCGGACTGGTTCTTCGTGACACAGGGCGTGCGACAAGGATGTGTGCTATCCCCACTACTGTTCAACATCTTCTTCGCCGAGGTCCTCGAGGTCGTCGTCATCCGATTCAGCGAGGATGATGTTGTTCTGCGGAGCCTGATGTGCTTGGAAGAGGGGAAGACGGAAGCGGGGGGGGGGAGGAGACACGCCTTGACCGAGTACGGAGGGCAGTATCGCGGATGCTGTTTGCCGATGATGCCGGCGTCGTATCGAGGTCTGCAGAAGGACTGGCGAGAATGATGACCATCATCGTTGAGGTGTTCGGGGAGTTCGGGCTAACGGTGTCGGAGAAGAAACGGAGACGCTCCTGATGCGCGCAAAGGACAAGCCGACTACAACATCACAGCCCGGTCCGCCTCCACCACTGACCATCGAAGCCGCGGGACAGAAATACGCCCAGACGACCGAGTTCCGGTACCTCGGTGGCCTCGTCAACGAACATGGCGACCTCACCCGGGAGATCAACTAAAGGAGCAGAGGAGCGTGGGCGTGCCTCAGGCGATATGGCCGGGAGCTCTTCGATAGACCGCAAGCAAGCGCCATTCCGACTCAAGATCCGCCCGCTCCAGGCGGAGGCGATGGAGGCACTGCTGTACGGTTGCATGACATGGTCACCACTCAGCGGCCACTATCAGACGCTGCGGTCGATACACCACC